CTTCTGCTGAATTGGATGTTCTTGGCATTTCATTAACAGTTCGACTGTGTACTGACCACATTTCAATTGGAAAACATGGTTCGTAATGCGTTGCTTCTTTTTTTCTAAACCTCATTCTAATTTTTCCAATCACGTAATTTTCTTCAAAACATGTTACTAGATCAATTTCATCATCCTCAAATTCAAATTTCAAAATACCCCACGCTTCCTTCACTTTCCCCGGGGGCAAAAATGTTWAACTTGCAATTTTACAGGCTCGAAAATTGGACTCGAGCACATTTTTATACTTTGTAACCAAACCTAACGCTTGGATCTTACGATATATCGATTGTTGTAAATGAAAAAAACACGCCGAATGGRTTGCAAACGGAAATACGTTATTGATTGCATTAATCGCTGCCTKTTCGAAATCGGTTAAGTATTATTTCCAAATTATTATTTTCTTTAAAAAAGATTCTATTTTCTTCAGCAAATTTATTTAAATTAGAAAATAACATATTATATAAATCTTCATCTTTTCCAGTCATTAATGCAAATATTAATGGAAATACCATTTCGTTTCCATCCCGTGAAATTGAACCGTGCACAACATAAAATTGTTTAAAAAGYTTAGGACACGATTTAAAAGTTTCGTCTAAAATCCAAAATTGTGAATTCTTTAAATAATTACAATTTTCAATTGTTGTGAAAATCATGATATAATCATCATTTCGTTTAACAGTTTTAATTAAAAATTTCTTTCCACTCAATGTATCAACAGATAAATCATTAAGATCAGAAATGTGGTTTGGATTTTTTATATTTGTTTTTCTTTGCCTTTTTTTAAAACAATTGATTTAGCTGAGCATTTTGAAATTTGAGAAGCTATAATATTTTCCACTTGTGAAATTGAATCTTGATATATAGAACTTGGTGTATCGTTAGTCTCAGCGGCCTTTCTTTTTATGACATTTTTAATGTTTTTACATTCAATTATCTGCGAAATTGGGCGATGCCAGTGATCGGAAATACTAAATGGCTTACCTTTATCATCGGATATGTATGTGTTGGCAATCATAGTAGTTTAGAACTTAGCTGCACAGTCGTGACATCTCCAATAATAAACTATTTTGCCATCAATTTTACGATTATAAATTTTATTGAAAACGTATAAAAATCCGTTTACATCTAACATATCATGYTTTTGATGAGTTGATTTCATCAACGTCAATGTAATGTTAGAAATTGTATTTTGCATTTCGGCCAACAATTTATAAAATTTTATGTAACTCTACGTAGGTAGGTATTTAGTACACGATGTACGGCAACGGCACTAGACTAAGACTACTTTTTGATATTTCTCGTATTCGACTAGATATAAAATAATCATATATTATATCAATATAGAACCATAATTCTACAATAATTATTAAACGATAATATCTTACGACAATAGTGAGCAATATCAATAAAATAGAAACTTGATAACGATTATTGAGTACAGATTTGGAAAAGTATCATAATTTCTACACTCTGTATCGTAAATTCTATTAAAAAAAAAAGACAGTATTTTATTTAAAAACTGTATTTATTTCTTTTATTTTCTAAAACACTATTTAATATTTTTCTAAAACGCAGATTTTCTAAAAGTTTCATATTCTAAAATATAGATTTTCTAAATCTTTTCATTCTAAAACTTGATTTTTGAAAACACGCACCCAAATCGTTAACCTATACGATGTATCGATAGACGATAATTGAGTAATATAAGATAGTCAAGTAGTCAGTAGTACAGTAGTTAGAAGTCACCATGGCACAAGCAATCAAAATTTTAATAAGGAGAATACAAAGTGGTCCAAACACCTTCTTTTGCAGATAGAAACAGGCAGAAGTTCATAAAAAAAAAAAAAAAAAAAAANTGCGGCCCATTATTCAATATTTGCTGGCTGCGGTAGCAGTATAGAAAGTCTAGTGGCAGCATATACTACCTCTGCTGCTTCAGTGCGCACGCCTATGACTACTAATATATGTTAATTTACTATATTTATTTAAAAGTATTGAAAAAAAATTGTTCGAGAAAGAAATACATATTAGAGGCATCCAAAGAGRATAAAAGTTAATTTAGTTAAACTATTTAACAGTCAAAAATCAGTAACTGTTTTTTTAGATATTTAGATCAGTGCATTCAATTTCTATTATTCTTAAATGGTTTTAATTACTTATTTAAATATTGTATAAAGCAAATATTCAAGATCAATTTCTTACAATCAGTTTTCTATAATCCCCCAATGTTAGAAACTTATGGATGACTAATTCTGCCAAAATAGGCGTCTAAACTAGCTTTCAGGGCTACTCCTGGACATAGTGCCATGCACAAAAAAACAAAATTCAATTTTCACATTCAAGTTTTTAATAACAAACTATTTTTTTTTAATTTTAAATTGTCATTTTAGAAAGAATTTGATCGTTATGGCCTTAAAGATCTTGGAAGGCGCAAAGGAAAACTTATATTAAGACATATTTATGATGTTACACATCCTAAATATGATTCTGAAGAAGCAAAATGTGTTGGAGACTCTGAACAGTATTCTGATTCTTCGGATAGGTAAGTTTATTTTAAACATTTAAATTACCATTATAATTTATAAATACTGAGTATAAACATTATTTATTTTGTTTTACATATAATATTATAGTTCAGAACCTGGAATCCCTTATTATGAAGCTGAAGATTATGACGAATTAGAAACTTATAGTCAAACAAATTTATCAAATAAAAGTAAGTTTTATAAAGATCTACATCTATATATGTATATTATGTATAACATATAAATAAATTAATGTATGTATGTATGTATGTATATTGTATATATAGAGTTTATAGACTTAGAAACTAGATTGGCACTAAATTTTGTATGCATATTCTTTGAGATTTTTAGAGGGATTTTCGCTTAATTGTTCAACACCTATAGGTTAGGCAAGGATATTGTTTTGATTCACAAAAATTAATTCATTTTTTTTGTTTAATTAATATACATATATACAGGGCCGTATTTAGGAATTTGACACGAAGGGGCAACAAAAAAAAATACGCCTCATTAATCATTATACAAAATACAAATTTAAATTATAAAAAAATTAGCCGCCCTCTYCTACTTAGCCGCCCGGGGCAACAGTACCCTGTAGCTCCCCCCTAAATACGGCCCTGCATATATATAGGGCTGCCATAGGTTACAGAAATTAAATTAAAAATTAAAATATGATATAGACTGGAATATTTATTTTAATGTCTTACTAGTATTATCTCATCAATAATAATTAATATTACATTTTTATACTTACTAATTTCTCCTATTTTAGATTTAATAAAATACAATAAATTCCATTGAAATAGAATGTTTACATTTGAATAAATTTGCATGCAGCTTGATGTGTATATATTAGTAAATGTCTTGATTACTTATTTTTCTTCTTCTGATAAACGTTAATTTAATTTTAAAGTTGTTAGCTTTAAATTTTTGTTTTTTAGTTTTTGATCTGTGGACAATTTTTCTGGTAGCAAAAATACTTATATATGTAATATCTGATGTTATTAAATGTGGAAAAAAACTCTTTTGGTATAACTTTAAAGAAGATAATTTATTGATTTTTACTAGATTTTTAAGTTCAAAGAAAAGTTATTTGTAAATAATGTTTAAAAAATTCCAACAAATATTATTTGAACTGATTATATATCAGTAATATAATATTACTATAGCATATAATATAATATTATATACTACTATAATTATTGTTAATTGTTATTCAGCTGTAATGTATTATTATTGCTATAGTTYGTGAAATGTTAGATACCGGGTCTAGGGTATAACGGTATTAGCATCTAATTCAACTGCAGTAACATTAATTAAATTTAAAATTAAAAGTTGTTTTTTCAATTATCATCAGTTTAATTTATGTGTTAAAAGTAGAACTGTGTTTTGATATGAGCCACATTTGATCATAATTGTGGGGTAATGGTAATTTTCGGCTTCGACGTATTGATGATTTGTAAATTTGACAATATCCGATTCTGCGCATGATAATTATAGTTATTTAT